GGGGGAACTGTGGTGGGTACCAACCTCGGCGATTATGCGGTCTCGGATGGAGACTTCATTGTTTTGGGTTCGGCCATGGTTAGGCCGTGTGGAAATTTTTCGGGCTTGGTGGGTTGGGTTGAAGATCTTGAGGTTGATTTTCGTTTGATTGCTTGTTTGGATGTTCATTAGGTTTCATTGGGCGTTGGGTTTGTGCTCTAGAAGGGAAGGGCTTGGTCTTTGTTTAGTTTTGTTTTCTTTTTTTCTTAGTTTTTAGATAGTGTAGGTTGGTGTTTTGATCTGTCTTTGGGCTCTCCCGTTTGGGAGTTTCTTCCTCCACTTGTTGGAGTTTCTGCCTCCACTTTGTTGGAGTTTCGTTGTGTATTTTTCTGTAATATGTGTGTGTTGGTGTTAGGCTGTTCTAGACTACACCCTGTGTAGCTCTCCCACTATCAGATTTTTGGCTAGCCGTTTCAGTGTTTTTGCTATTTTGGTATTTGTAATTTGCCTTTCGTGCTATAAAATCTATCGTTTTGGAAAAAAAAAACTTGGACAGAAAATAAAACGTTGTTCATTTCTAATAACTAAAGAGATATACCAAGTCTTAATTTCAAAATCATAATACTACTAAGGGCATCAACATGCTGATACCCCAACGAAAAAAAAAAAAAAACCAGAACAATCTTCAATAAACAAAACTGAAAACAAACTAGGAGCCTTCTCCGAGCCCTCTGGGATGCCGGAATCTTCCTTCTTGGTTCCATCGTCGAGGTCGCCCGCTTTGTCCTGAAGAACTCTTTCCATGATCTCCTTCTCTTTAGCAATTGTTATAGCAGCAATCACCTCGCCTTATAGCGGAATTACTTCATCTGTTGGCTCTAATACCTCGGACGACGCGCTCATCATGTCGTTCTCGGCTGCAATTGACTTGGCTTTTTCCTCCGTAAACTTGGCAACTGCCGACATGATTTCAGCCGGAGACATGTCTTCAAGGCCTTGGCTACTGAGTGCCTCAGCCAAAGTCTCGATATAGATTTCAGCCAGCTCGGTCTTCTTCTCCTTCTCGTTTCCCAGCAGCATGTCCACAAAGGCCAGGTGGATGAGAGCTCTATTCTCTTCGATCATCGGTATGAAGTCAAGATCAGTGGCATGATTGGCAGCTTGGGTCAGCATTTACTTGCAGAAGTCATTTTCATCTTCATCGGCGGGGATGTATGTGGATTTGATCTCGGGGTTGAAGTTATACTTCTCTAACTTCCTCAACAAGTAAATGCGGAAGTCGTTGAGCTCATATAGACCGTTCTGAAATCGTCGATCACCCATCTCAGATTAAGGCAAGTGTTCATCTCGATGTCCAGATCTACCTCATCCGAGTCATCGTCACTTGCTCCTTCCACCCCCTTGTCGACTTCCTTACCTGCTTTCAAACTGGCTTTATACATGATCTCGCCATGTGTTGCTTTCTCTTTTTCAAGTCTCACCATCTCGGCCTGGTGAGCTTCTCGAGCGCGGATCAAAAGTTTCTCAGAGCGATGACACCGAGTCTCTTGATGCTCTATATATGCGCTCCTTCAAGAGTTGTTCATCACGTTCCTGCAATTTCTCCTCAAGTGGTTTCACGTTATGCTCGGAGGCAACCAGTTGACCGGCCAACTTCTCATTCTTGGCCTTCAAACGCGCATTTCCATCAGAACTAAAATCTTCTTCTGAGCAACTTCAATTTGCGCATCCCTCTCTGCAATGTCGCCCTTCAAAACAGCCTCCGACTTCGCCGCTTCCTCCCGCATGGAAGCCATAGTGTTGTCACGCAGTTCCAGAGTGTTTTTCTTCTCATTCAATTACACTGTCGTGGGTCGGTAATCGTCCTCCGCAGCGACCAGACTTATCAAAGTGCAATCTATGCACGACTTGGCATAACCGAGTTTATGGACACTCGACATCGATGATACCCCAACCTTCGACATAGGGCCCCAGGCCATCAAGGAGAACCGAGCCGCATCTACCATATGTCCCGGCAAGTCGGTCTTAGTTTGATGGGTCTGCTCTCAGATCTGGAACGGTTTGGTGAGAAAACGTCCGGATCTGGGATGGACCGGTATGAACGAGC